TTTTTTTTTGTTCGTTCATAATGTGACGCCTTAGCTTGACGGCTGCGACTTCAAATGAAAAATACGCACACTCATGCAATTTCTACATCGAAACGAAATGCGAAAGTGTTTTTTCTTGTGCGTGTGTGTGTGCGTTTGCTGTATTTAAGCCGCATTTTTTTCAATTTCATTCTACCTAACCAAACCAGAATATTTGTGAATCGTGTTGTTTCGATTTATTGAGTCATTGTTTTCATTCGTTTTGTTTTTTGAAACCGTTTTTTTTTTCTATCAGAATCTATTGTTATTTAGTTTGTTTTTGTCGAATTGTAATCTCAAAGAATCCAAACGAGAAAAAAAGACGGCCGTTTACGCGCCAGAGTGGTGTGATTAGTTGCCTGTACATTATAAATCATTTTTCGAAATTTCATTTGGAAATCTTGTTCTCTTGGTCCGGTGATGAATGTGTGCGCGAAATGATCAACTTCATTAGCCAAAGAGCCTCGGCGACTAGAGAAAGATGAAAAAACAATAGAGACCTAAAGCATCTTTTTGACATTTTTTTTCTGTTTTCATGTGATTTTCTTCGCAGGTTTATGCTCAACCGTCAAACGCACAGGACATTCAAATGAATCCCGTGAGAAATATAAACAATTTACTATCGAGCGGAACAGTGAGCGTCACTGATTCACCACAGACTCGAATAACGAAGCGCAAATGCTGTATCTGCGTTAAGCATATCGGTAAAAATGACATAGTTTCCGGCAGATCCATTACAACTGAATCACTTACAGAGATCCGAAAAAAAATTGATCAAATTGTTAAAAAAGCATTCACGGTCACCGTCAATGTGGACGATGTAATTTGTAAGCGATGCAAGGACTTATTCGACCAAATGGATGGGCTGGAAACAAAGATGGATCGTGTCAAAAGCTGCATTTTGAATTTAATTAAAGAGAAACATTGTATAAATGACAACGGTAATGCTAGTGCAAGCAGCACAAATGTTTCGTACATGGAAACGCCCCCTGCCAAAAAACGGAGGCTCAACACAAGTGTTGGTACGATCAATGCGAATTATACGAACCGAAAGACGAGCAACGGTGACGGTGCCGAAGATGACACCCGAAAAACAACGACCGTACCATTGTTGCAGCCCATCCAGTCGCAGCCAGTGAATCAATTTGCCGGGAGTGTCAGTGCAATTGATGATGATATCGATTACACATTTGTCGAATTTAACGAGACGGCGCCACAGAATAGCTTTAGTTCAACACAATCGGTGCAGCCAGTAAATGTAAGTCAAGTTATTTTAGCCTCTTGAACCCTTCATTTCATTTCATTTATTTCGTTGGTCAAAAATGGTTGTTTGAAGTCAATTTCGATTCACCATTTGAAATGTGCAATGAGAATCATTTGGGCCGGTAGAAAAATGTATGGCACTTGGTCCATTTTGTATCTCACTTGATTTTTCTCATTCAAGCCGACGCCACTGTGCGTGCGTGCGCATTCATTTTCTGTTTTACTCATTCACTCATTCTGCTCCAACAATGTTTTATCATTAAACGAACGCTGTGGTTCTTTGACATTTTCAGCAAACGAAATCACCACGTCAGCGGCGGAAAGACGCCTATCCCTGCAAATTCTGCACAGACTCCTTCTCAAGCGCGGATGATTGGAAGCAACATAACGCCTCAGTGCATGAAAGATTCCTCCCATGCATTGAATGCAAAAAGGCCTACCGATCGCAAAAGTTCTACGATTTGCATATGACACTCAAACACCCAAAAAATCCTGTCAAAAATAACAAAAAAACCGGGCCACAATCCGTTGCTGTCACACCGACCGCAATCATTCAAACACAACCAAGCACATCTATCGGAGGAACTGCCAACAATACCGAAGGCGTGGTGACATCAAGCCATGAAAGTTTGTCCGATGGAAACACATACGATATCACCATGACAACGGATAACGCAGCCATCGTTGACGAACATTATGTAAGTATCATTGGAGAGCGCAAAATGGTAACTTATTTATCTCATTCGGTAGTTTAAGGGCAATTCAATTTCATCCTCTGTTTTCCTTTCATTTTCATCATTAGGAAAACACACAAGGGGCCAACGTTAGCAGTTCATCCGGTGACAATATCGATTTGGTCGATTATGGTGACTTCTTCGATGTTAGCAATGTTGGTGGAGGCGGCGATGGTGGTGGAGACGACGACGATGGAGATGAAGGTCATTTAGACAGCGAGTATGTTACATGGAAACAATTCAGAAAATTTAAGAAAGAATTAAAGAAAGACATCAAGGAAGACATCATTGATCTCCGCACAGATATCGGTAAAGACATCATTAATCTCCGCACAGAAATCCGTGAAGACATCATTAATCTCCGCACAGAAATGCGTGAAGACATCCGTCAAATTATCTGCACAGAAATCGGAGCATTTTGGTAAGCAGATTCAAAGTCTCACGATCTATTTGAAGCAATTGAATATTCAAACTAATTTTTTTGTTTCATTTCCACCAGGAATGACGGTCAAAGATCTGTACCACAAGTGCCGTGAAAGTTTTCTCGTCAGTTCGGATTCCACGCTGCGAACACAGCTCATCGAATTCGTGGACCATAAAATGGCCAAGATTAAACGTAGCCACGATGGTACAATCAACATACAAATCCTATCAGCAACAAAACGATTGAATCCACAGACACCCATTTAGTTTTTATGCTTTGAACATTGAAGTTAATTAATTTAATCAATTATTAGACATAAGCATTCGCTCAATGAATTTTCATTTGTTTTCGATTAAAAATGTTCGTTTTCATTCAAAAAAATGCAAAAAAATTCAAAAAATTTGAATGTTGAAAATGATCCAGTCTTCTTTTTCGGGTAAATCAATCAATTCCTTATGGATTGGTTGATTGTTAGTATCACACTCGAGCCATGTCTTTGATTCCGTTGTATTGAAGTCGAGTTCCTCTTCGGTTGTGTAACTCAATGGCACCCACCAGCATGGGTTGTCGTTATCGGTAAGCTTTTTCGGTTGTGTTGGATTCTTCAAAAATCGATACTGATTCTCGGTATGTGATCAATCCTGGAAATTGAAAAGTTTATTAAATTCAACCAACAATCATAGCGTGAATGCTTAGAAGGTAGAAAAATGAAAGAAAAATTGCTTCAGAAAATGAAGAATTTCAGTTTAAATTACCCCAATTCTCCATAGCCTCAGCAGAGAAGTCTGGTATAGCGATCATGTCCATTTTCGGCAGAGGATATTTTACTTTGAATGTTTTTTCGAAGAATTTCAGCACTTTTGGTCCAACGAATTTGGCATATTCAACCTATGAATAACAAAATTGTTAGGCACTATCAGAAATGACATTTAAATTTAGAATGGATTTTTGTGGTTTTTCATTTTGCGGTCGGGTCGAATGGTGTAATAATTCCTGATTATCAATTCATTTACCTGTGAAATTGCATCACGTCTTGCCCATATTCTGAAAACAACGTCGCCGTCAGCCGATGATTCCCTGAATTCAAAGTCGTTAATTGTATACGCTACGAGGTAAGTTGACATTGGCACTGTGACATCGAATTTATCGAGTACCCAATCCGATTTATTCGCACTAAAAATGCATTGAAATCATAAGACCAACAGAAAAAATTTGCACGTTGAAATTTGTATGTTGAGATGATAAATTGCGTAGTACGTACATTGGTTCAGAGGTGAGTATTGGCATGTTGCCCAAAGCGGTGTAGTTTTTGTGATGTCCCAAGCTAATATCAAACTTTGCCTTCATATCTGGTTCGTCGAAACATGGGAAGCCAAGCCTTGCATAAGTAGCTGAAATACAACAATAATTCGTCAATTTAAATTCGCCAAACAATATTGCTTGCGCCACACATGAGTGAGACAATGTGCAAACATACCTTCGAATTGTGTAACGGCCATCCATCTGACTCGAATGACACAGAAAAAAGAAGAAAAGAAAAACAGTACGAGACGAGATTACTCAAGCAATGCAGACAATACAATGCGAAATCATCTTACCGTTTTTGATTTGATTGTTTATCCATGTAGCTACTGCGATAGAATCCGAGCAGACCTTTGCTTAAATCGCTCTTGAATGGGATAAATACATTGTATTGTTTGTCCTTTTCGAGTACCTCATTCGTGTGGATGATGAAAAAATCAAACTCTTCTTGGAATTCGGTTCGATTGATGGATACTTGTCTCATATCGGCTCCCTTCAAGCGATGGATTGAAATGTCGGCATCCGATATGTTGAGATTTTTTGCGTGCAACGTTATGTTCTTCGCATTTTCAATCACATTGACCTACAACAAAATGTAATTGAATTACTACGCTTTGCGACACAGACAAAATCAATAACTTCTTGAGCCGTGCATAAGGTAAAATCAATATCAGACGGCAGAAGAAGAAGAAAAAACCACAACAAAATGCAAATAGAAACGAAAGGTCAATGGTCTCTCTTTTATCGAAACTTTTTCTTTTGCATGTAGCGATTTGATATATCAGAGTTGGTATGCATAGGAGGCATGATGAATTTGCAATTCAGAAACTTTGTAAAGTTGTCAGAAAAATGTATCCCTAATGTTTTTTTCTGTGCTGAATTGAATTATTTCAGTTTATCTTCATTAAAATTCCTGTCGAATACTTGTCGACAAAGGTTGGCGATTTTTTTTCCTGCTCACTTTGAATTATCGCAAGGCATTTTATTTTCAAAGTCGCGCCGCTACATGAACATTGAAGACAATTGATAAAAAAAAACTGGTTAAATGCAGATTGTGTTACACTTGGATTCGTTGCGAATAATAAATATACGTGCAACTAAGTAGTATTCTACACCCACTTGGATTTGTGGAATCGCAAAAGATAAACAGAAATACTTTCCATGGGCGATACACTAAGAAATTGATAAAAAAATCCAGTTTAACATTTCAGGAATAATAAGTTTTTGAACTCTCGATTCATGCAATAAAGAAATGGCAAGTACCGTAATATTCTTATTTTAGATAAGCCAGT